ATCCCCCATCCTGTCTCCAATCTCTGTTTCTTTCTTTCTCTCTTTAATCCCTCTCTCTCTCTGTAGATGACATGCACACACACAGAACACAAACACCCACATACAGAACAAGCACTCACACAGAATTGCAGACACCAATTTGTAGACATCTAAGCTTGTGCAAACGATGTTCTAAAGTTGGAGACTTTCCCTAAATGCAAGTAAATGCAGCTCTACAGCAGAGTCCCACACCAGGTCAGGTACCTGCCTAAGAGCAAAACAACATTTATATAAATTCACATGTATGAGCCTGATTGAAGAGACTTTCCATAGCTGGATTTGTGATTCAAGAATAGACCAAGCTTAAACAAGTCAAGCAAATATTGGGTCGGTCCATTTTTGCCTTGAAATAATTGGGATCTAATGGTTTGTTCTGGTACTTTGCTTCTCCCTTTGTGTCTCAAGTTCATCATTTCATTAGGAGGTATTGAAGGATAGACAAGCAAGCCAACTGACTATCTGTTTTATGTTTATGTTTTTTATGTTTTATGTCTTGTCCTTGTATGTTTCTTTGCAAAGCGACCTTGAGGTTATGAAAGGCGCTATATAAATTCAAGTTATTATTATTATTATACTTATTGTAAGTTGCTTTGGATAAAAGCGTCAGCTAAATGCAATGTAATGTAATGTATTATTATCTAGTTTTGTAGCTTTTCGTTGCTAACTGAACAATATGTTTAGTTAATTTTTTTAAACATATTTCAACTGAACCATCAACATTTGGCTATTTTGGCTACCATTCCTATTTGGTGGAATATTTTACATAGCAAAACATCCCGATTGTTTCTCCTGTCCGCTGGGGATAGCTCTGTCAACACAGTTTGCTAATGGTCCATCGCACAAATTTGAGTATTGGAATTAAGACAAGCTAGCCAAGATACGTTGTTGTTTAACAAGTTTGTTAGCTTGGTTGCTAACAGAACAATATGCTTAAAGTTTATTAAAATTACTTATTTGTAAACTCAATGTTAGTCTTATTAGTCGTAGTGTTATGAATCTGCAAACCATTCCTGTTTGGTGGAATAATTGACATGGCTAAGTTTCCCCCATTTTTCTCCAGTCTGTTAAGGCCAACTCTGTCAAGACACTTTGCTAATGGTCAATTGAGCAAATTTGAGTGAGTTGTACTCGATGCAAAAGGATAGAGGTATTTTACCATTTCGAGCAAAATTGCACCACTCTAATTGGTGGCTTTAAAAGTCAGTCAAACAAAGAAGAGCTCTTATGAGATAAACACGCATGGGGTTATTACCCTCTCGCATTATTTCAATTTTAAATCAACTCACATCTCAGTCTGGTTCTGACCTTTCTTGAATGTTTCTATTGGTTGTCCCTTGTATGGAGAGTTTTGGTAAGTTGTTTTTGTTCCCAGTTGTAGTTAATCCTCTTGATGCAAGAAGACCTTGTAAAAAAAATTAAGAATTCTTGCTCATTATTTCTTTATCATAGGTAAATATTTCAGTTTACATGCCAAGTTAAAATCTTGTTTGGAGTCTTGGCTAGTTAATACTTACAATGAGTAATCTCTTCCTCCCTCTAACTCCAACCACCAAATCTCCTCATCTCTTTCTTTTCACTGAGGCGGGATGGAGGATATTTCTTTAAGCTCCCTTTTCTCTCTTCTTCTCTCAGGAAACTCTGACTGTCAATAAACTCTCTGGATCCCGCGCCTCCCTGAAAAACCACAGCTTCGATTACACAAAATGAAGCACCACACAACCCTGGGCAACCAAAAGGTGTTTTCAATAATTACTTATATGTGTTTGGCGAATCAGAAACATCTGCGGTGAATTTGACTGAAAGAGCCCCAAAACAATTCTAAAATAGGACTGATGCACGCAGGGCCTGAGACACACACATGCACACATAGAAGGGCTACACTGCGCCATTGTCAGTGTGGGTCTATTTGCGGACTGTTTTTTTAGCTGGCCACAGCTGCGGAAATGAATATCAAATGTGGTTCTGCTCCCATAAATCAAAACCGTTTGCCGTGTTCTGACTTTCTTTCCCCCGTTTAAAGTCAATTCGCAGGGGCAGTGTGCATTACACTTACACCCCACGGCTTAACTCTTTCCTCTGACAGTCACAGAGGTGTGTTCAGGAGCAGGAGGTTAGGAAGAGGCTGGGGGGATATAAAAGCTTGTTGTGAATGTACAGGCATTTAAATGCACATCATGTATTATGGCAAAAGCAAGGCTAACATGGGTTCAGTATGACATGTGTTTGAATTGAAAAGTATGATGAGAAATTACATAAAGTGGAACTGACTGTCTGCCCAGTATGAATAAGAGTTGTCTTTGTTCCTCTAAGAATGTTTGGTCAAAGTTAGGGGTAATACTGTCTTATAGTATACTGAGAAATATATCTTATAATTGGACTGGTCATTGGGTTAAAAAATAGAGTTAGGCTTAGGTGAGGGTAGGGGAAAAGGCAGGGTTGTATGTATGTTCATGTGAGTTTTTACTATCCAATTTAAATAATTCCTATTGAGTCCTAGTCCCATTTAAAGAATGAAAACATGTTGTGGTAACATCAATGCACTACCATTGAATTGCAGCAAAAGCTGGATTTGTCAGTAGTGGCAACTAATACAGGCTCATTTTTCAAGGTTAACTTTTGTGAACATTGATTAGCGACCAATTTCCAGTCAGAGTGGACAGTGGTAACTTTTTAGGGAACGCAGATCCAGATGGTCGATATTGAAGAACTTACTGATTAGCCGTGATGCACCCACTTTTATTAGAAACGGCTCAACAAGGCAGATTGATTTGTCAACTCTAGAAAATAAGAGTAATTTATACAATTACATATTTGAGTTAACTGTGTGTCCTTGTAACTGAGCTAACAAGCTTACTGACTCACAAGCTAGCTTACTGACACTTAGCTAGCTCACGAACTATGACTGCTTTTCGTCACCCTCTTCTACTTTATTTGATGAAATGATGTACAATTCTTAGTTAGAAAAGGCAAGAGGAGGTAAACGACACAATTCTGTAATAATTGCATGAAGCTTGAAACCTATAGTGACAAACAGCACTTGCATTTTAAAGGATGGCTAATGTGTGAGAGGTTAATTGCAAGTTACTGTAGTTCACTAGTTAGCAGCAAAATATAGCAATGATGATATTGGCACTTCATCTGTAGGATATCTGTGAAAACTGGAGAAAAAAAATTGCCAAGAATAAATATTTCCTTCGGAATGACCGGTTGATATCTTACAGAAAATAAATATGTGCTTTTACATGTAACCAACGTTTTCTTAGTTTACCCAGTCATTGTGAAATATTTTAAACTCACTTTACTTTATCTGCATCTACCTGTGGGCGATAATAGTAGGCATTATAATTAGTTAATTCCACTATATGACAGACTTTATGTTTTTGTGGAATTAGTTGTAAGATATCAGCACATAAATATCGGGTAGATCGAAAATCAGAAATCCCTACTCACAAAGCTTTTTTGGATGGGATTGGATTTTTTTTTGTACCAATTTCTGCTGTGACTGCAGCTTTAATGTAATGAGAGACATCATTGGGTTCTACTATGGCAATCATAACATTGTGTCTGTGCACATTTGTGTGTGTGTGTTTCCAGGTGTAGGAGGGTGTATCACTGAAAGCACCGGAGGTCTTGGACTCGGCTTTACTTCTGCCTCTCTGGGATTAGAGGGGATCCAATGCTGTCCAAACCTTATCCTAACCTACCGTCAGGGCCAAACCAACACACACACTCCAGATCAAGCTGTGGGACAATAGACCGGCCCGTCTGTTGGTTTAACAGGTCTGGATGCTTGCTAAAGGCCTGCTCTGATGTCCAAAGGTCCGGGATAGCAAGAGAGGGAGGCATTGCCAAAGGGGAATTTGTGTGTGGTTGTGTGTACATGTGTATGTTCAAGTAGGGCAGAGTGGAGAGGGGTCACATAAGGCTGTGTATGTGAGTGTGTATGTTTGGGACAGTGGAATGTGAGGGAGCAGAGGGGGGACATGCAGCAAGGGACATCCCTTTAATACCAGCCCTAATCTTCACCCTGGGCACTGAGTACGTACACACACACACACACACACACACACACACACACACACACACACACACACACACACACACACACACACACACACACACGCACACACACACGCACACACACACACACGCACAGACACACACTCTCTCATCTGTCTGCNGATCTGTGTAAATATTATTTCCCTGTTGTTAAAAGGACTCGAAAGGACTCGAAACTCAAACGGTAGGACTTGGGACTCGACTTGAGACTTGTCGGTCTTGACTTGGGACTTGACTCGGGACTTGCCTGTCTCTGACTCGGGACTTGACTCGGGACTTGAAGGCAAAGACTTGAGACTAACTTGTGACTTGCAAAACAATGACTTGGTCCCACCTCTGTCAATTACCAGTCTGATATCGTTTTACAAAGATGACAAGAAGAGTGTAGATAGGAGAGAACCACTACAAGTCAGGACACGTAAAACAGTGCAGCCTAGATGAAGGTGTGCTTACCGGTGTTGTCAGGGCTAGCATGAGGGACAAGGTTTATAGTGTCGGTGAGTAGTGATAGCAAGAGTACCGTTAACCTAGAGTAAATTTATTCACATACATTCCCATCAACAAATCCATTTTATGTGTCACATGCGTCACATGAAATCTTTATTAGGCAAGGCAAGTTTATTTATATAGCACTTTTCAACACAAGGCAATTCAAAGTGCTTTACAAAAAATGAAAGACATTAAGAAAATGGCATTTAAAATCAGTCATTAAAAAGAAAAGTTAATAAAATAAACATTAAAAGAAAAAATACATGGATAAAAGTTACAGTGCAGTTTAACATGTGAATAGTTCAATTAAAAGCAGCGACAAAAATGAAAGTCTTCAGCCTGGATTTAAAAGTAGTCAGAGTTGCAGCGGACCTGCAGGTTTAATAGCAAACAAAAATGCTTTACTTGTAGGTATGGATGAAGACAATGAGGAAGATAACGACCCTCATCATCACGAGTTGTCGGCCATCAACGAGCTTCCTGAGCGAGAGCGGTCGGACGACAAAGACAGCACGAGCGCCTACAACACCGGGGGGGAGAGCTGCCGCAGCACGCCATTGGTCAGCACCGAGCAGATCCCCCCTCTCCAGGAAGAGGAAGATGACAGAGGAAGACGACTGATGTCTCCGCCTCCTCTCCTCCCCCTCAGCCGCCTCCCTCCTCTGAACTCCCCCCTCACCCCGCGGCGCCACAGGAGGGAGAGAGACAGAGAGCGACGTCACTCCAACCTCAGCGGATCCTTCTCCCCCAGCACATACAGGAAGATCGAAACAGCCAATGGCAACGTGGCAAACGGCTCAAGCTCCACCCCCTCCACGCCCTCCAAGTTCAGGTACACTTTCAGCTTTGTACAAATATCTTTAAACTTTCTAAACTAGTCCTACAGTATATGTTTTTTTTTTAAATGATAAACTAGTCATTATTGTTTGTTATTTTTGAATAATATGGGATATTTTTTTGGGTTTGTTGCCGTAATCAGGTCTCTGACCAGAGAGGCGGGGTCATCTTCACGAAGAGGCGTGGCTGACGGAGGGCAGGGCTCCAGAGCAGGTACACAATTCATCCTCCTGCAGTTTACTCTGCGCTGTGTCTAAATTCACATACTTCTGTTCTTGCATTAGCTGTTTTGAGTGCACATTACCATGACTTCCCTGGATGGGGTACTCACATAATGAATACCGACTAACCGATAACGCCGTGCGCTGCGTTCAAAGTAAAAATTGTTTAAACTTTGACTTTGTTTACAGCTGCACCTTTCAACACGAAATCAATCAGTATGTTGCGGCACAAGCTAGCAGAGGTCACAATAGAAATGAAACTTAACTGGCTGTATTCACCAAACGGCTCTGCGCCCGACCTCATGGTGCGCAAAGAGCAAATTTCAAATCATGTGAATGCAGCTTAACTAATTTGACTTTTATTTTGTCAATGTTGAGCCAAATTTTCTGTAAACCAGAATTTAAAAAATGTGATATTGATGATATGTTTTGACGGCTAATTCTATTGTTATCAAGCAGGTGGCACTACAGGAGGAGGAAGTGCAGAGTCCAGTCCGTATTTCACCAGGAGACGCCAGAGCCAGCACAAACCTCTGGAGCGCTACCAGAGCTGCATGACGCTCCCCTCCGAGGGCCTGGTGGAGCCTCTGGACCGGGGGAGGGACAGAGCGAGGGTGGAGGAGAGGGGGATGGGGACGGGCAGCAGCGGGCCCGGCAGCCCCAGGAGTGTGAACAGCGCCCCCTGTGGTCTGGAGGACCGATACACTCGCGCCTCGCGGTTAGGACTCGCTCTACCGCTCGGGATGACGCACTCATCGCCGACTGCCTCACCACAGCGCATGGAGTGGAAGGTAAAGGGTGTGATGATGATGATGTTAGCGTTTCATCTTGAGTCGCCTTCCTCCTTTAAAGGATTACTTACTTAACCAGAGTTACATCCCAGGTCAAATGTACGTTAAAAGGTCTTTAGCATTAAAGGTCACCTATTATGCAAAATCCACTTTTTCATGTATTTTAATCAACATGTGTCCCCTCTTCTCCATGTCTCTTCTACATCAACATGTGTCCCCTCTTCTCCATGTCTCTTCTACATCAACATGTGTCCCCTCTTGTAAAGAGATTCTGAAAGTTTCAGGAAAAAAGACTTGCTCACTTTTTGTCCTGATCCCATTATATAAAAACCTGTCTGAAAATGAGCTGATCAGAGGGGTTTATGGGATCCTACAATAGGCGCTTTCACACCGGAGTACTTTTACCCACACTTTTCTCGTTTAGTTCCGATAGTGCCAGGAATTTTGCGTTCACACCAAAAAGAGAACTTTTACCCCCTTTTCAGTGCCTGCTAGAGAGGTGGTATATCCTGGGGAGAAAAAAGTACCAATTTCTATAGGCTGGGCGAATTGCAAACCACGCCCCGTAAAACTCGGAAAAGTTTTTTGAAGCCGCCCTTGTATTTTCTGGCATTAGAATTAGGCGGCTTCAAAAAACTTTTCCGAGTTTTACGGGGCGTGGTTTGCAATTCGCCCAGCCTATAGAAATTGGTACTTNTGAAACACACACACACACACACACACACACACACACACACACACACACACACACACACACACACACACACTGTCTGTGAGTGTGCTGAGGTCTAAAGGTCATTTCCCACGAAGCCCCGCAGCTCCTATGATACGTCATCGTCACTCTGGGCGACAAAGGGGAAATAAAGAGGCCGGGCTTTCCTTCCGACCCCGTCCCCAATACAATGGACACACATACAAACACACACTGTTTGGGGAAGTGCGGAAAAAGCTCTCACATGGGTTTATGCAAACTGTTGTATGCAAATGTATGTTTGGCGCTTTAAGAACTCCACTTCTGTTGATGTTGTGATTGGGGGCTCATAAATACAAATAAGGAAACGTTCCACATGAAAAAGGAAGTAGAACTCAATCTGACAAACAGGTGGCCACAGAAACAGGTCAGAAAGCAGGAGGTGAAGGTTTTGGTTCAGTTCATGTAAAGGTGTCACGTAAAAACAAAAGAGAGCTGGAAGCAAGTTCATCTCTGTGCTGACTGCACTGTCTGATTGACAGGTCATCAGAGAGGAGGTAAAGTGATTGCTCAATTTTTGTAAAGATACCATTGCCAGCAAATTCAGAGAAAATCGCCCAAGATTAGACAAGAACACATGCTTTGCTGCTCTTCATGCTCTTCGGGGTTCCATTGAAATGAATTGGACCTGGCTCTTCCTTATAATAATGCAGATGTGACTCAATCGTTTTTAATTACCAGAATGTCCTGGATTTTTGTATTTCTTAAAGATGCAGAATCATTCACAAAAACTACAAATGCATCCAAAGTGGTTGTTTTCCCTTTTGAAAGAAGATGCTGCCCACTTTAGCTTACGAGACTTAATGTGATCCTCTTGGGATGAGCAGTTTCCACTAATAAGGAGAAAAGAGAGAAAAATACCAATACACAAACAAGCAGATGATTATGAACCAGAGTACTACCTCTTAATAACGGTTAAATTTAAAACACAAAAATAAAAAAGATCATAGAAAACACATGCACAAAAATAGCTCAACACGTGACATTCGCTATAGGATACACACTCATATATACATACAGTACATTTGCCTTTGGGCTGTTATGGAGAACCCGTATCCCCAGGTGTTATCCGCTGCTCAACAACTGCATCTGTGTGTGTGTGTGTGTGTGTGTGTGTGTGTGTGTGTGTGTGTGTGTGTGTGTGTGTGTGTGTGTGCTGTGAAACATGGAAATTGGGTAAGCTCGGGGGTCAATCATCAGTCACAACCTGCCAGCTCGTTGCAGAGCCAAGAAACAAGGCGAGGAAGAGG